GGCCGATAAGATAATCGCTACTCAGGTTTATGCACCTAGGAAAGAATAGTAACAGAGTTTGCACACAGGCCCAGTGGGAACTAGGAAGGGGAAGGTAAAATCCTTGTTGCACGTACGTATGTGAGGACCTAGGAATGACAGCAGGCAGCAGCCAGGTGAGTGTCTATGACTTGTTGCCCACCACCGTCCTCTGTCCTCTGTTCTCAATAGCTTGAACTTGGCCAGAGATAGAATGGATAACACTGCTGCATGTACAATACACATGCCACATACCAGGCCTGAGGGAGCTGCAGAAGGTTCATGGAACATGTATCTAGAGGAAAAAACTGTGCATGAATTTCACAATACGGTTTTGCTCCCAAATGAACTTACGTTTTAATTTCATTTTTTAAAGATTTATTTATTTATTTATTTGAAAGACAGAGTTACAGAGAAAGAAAGAGGTCTTCCTTCTGCTGGTTCATTCCTCTAAATGGCTGCAATGGCTGCAGCTATGCTGATCCAAAGCCAGGAGCCAGGAGCTTCTTCCTGGTCTCTCATGTGGGTGCAGGGGCCCAAGGAATTGGGCCAACTTCTTCTGCTTTCCCAGGCCACAGCAGAGAGCTGGATAGGAAGTAGAGCAGCCCATATGGGATGCCGGCACTGTAGGTGATGCCTTTACCTGCTGTGCTACAGTGCCAGCCCCTAATTCTGTTTTTCTTATTGAATTTTTTGAAGTCCCCTCTTTGGAAGCTGCATCCGAAGCAGAGTCCAGGGCACAGAGCAGTCCGCATGTGGAATGTGGCCCTCTGCCTTTGTTCAGGCACCAGGCTGTCAGGTGGAGCTGGAGCCTTTGCCATCAGGGAAGAGTAGTGGTATAGGAGTTGCTGTGGTTTGCTTCCCAAGGAAAAGGCTGCCCCTAGGCCTGAGTTGCTGTGCACTGGCCATGGGCTTGCCAGGTCTGATGAAGGGCAGGGGCCTTAAGAGGGCCGGTCCCAAACACCGGTGGGCTGATGCGGAGCTGGAAGGCAAGAGCTGGGAATGGAGGGTGGGAGGGTTGCGTGCTCTCAAATGGTAATGTGAAATTTGAAGATCCCAAGAAGGTTGCAGTGCCTCCACAGGGGGATACCCACACGTCTCCCTGCCTGGAATTCAGAGTGGCTTTGGGTGTGCCTGATGTTCATCCTCAGGAACAGTGTGCAGGCACAGACTCCGCGGGAAACCCCCTGTGGGCTCCTCACCCAGAATCTTCAGCTCCTTCTCTGCAGAGGTGATGGCTCTGCAGGGGCTGCAGCCTTGGAGTGCGGGGCTCCGGCTGTACCTGGAAGGCCCGCCGCCTCCCACCTGCCTTGTAATGGCCCCTTCTGCATGAGCCCATGGATCAGGATTCCCATGCAGGCTTTTAGCACATGCCTGTGAACCGCCAGGCTGGGCTCGCGGACCTGGGAGAAAGTGATTATTCTGCTGATGTCAGGGCTGTACTCTGTGTCCTGGGTGTTAGCACCTATGAATCTTCCCCCTAATTGGAGAACTCTACCCTGCGCCCCCAGCCTGCCCCCTGGGCTCTGGCAGCCGTGTGACAGCCATTGTCCAGCCACGTGCCTCCATAACATCTGTATGAACATCTGGAACCGGAGGAGGGAACCTCCAGCTCGTCACAGGCCGCAGGTGTGTTTGGGCTGCAGCGGGTGGCCTGCAGGAGAACTAAGACGGGTGTTTTTCAGGGTGGGGTGAGTGAGTTGACAAGGTGGAAATGTGACAGCTGGGCAGAGTGGGTCACTCTTGTTCATCCGTGAGTGCCTTGACGTCTGTATTGGTATCTGTAGCTGCGCTGGGCAGCAGGAGGTGCTGGCTGTTGAGGCTGGGTGGTGTCAGAGCAAAAGCGTGCCTTTTGTGGTGGAGAGATGAGCATGGGTTCCCAGCTGCTGGCTACCGGGGTGGGCGGGGGAGAACCTCAGTAACCCCTGAGCAGGGCAGTTAGGAGGGTTAATAAGTTAACACCTGAGCAAGAACTGAACAATGCTGGGCCTGGGGGGGTCAGTGCAGGGGTGCTTCCCACCCATGCCTAACGCTGGCAGAACTGGCCATAGTCTCAAGTTCTGCGCTAAAGCAGCAGACACAGAAGAATGAGGAGGAGGAAGGATGGATTCAGTGGAGGAGAGGCAGCAGGGCTACCGCGGGCCGTGGGTTGAGGCTGAAAGGAGTGGACGACATCTGGGGAGAGCTGGGCTGCTAGGGTGGATGTGAGTCCTCAGCAGGGAGTGAACTCTGGGGCCTAAGGAGGAAGCCGTGGCAGGAGGACAGAGGCAGAACCTCGGGGTGAAGCAGGAGCAGAAGGAAGGCGAAGGGAACTGGGGCCAGGGGACGGCGCTGCGCAAGTCGGGTCCTGGATGTGATTGTGGCGGAGGTGAGAGGTCCACGGACCCAGACAGAAGCAAATGGCTGGGCCAGGGGAGCCCAGGGACAGAAATGGCTTGCAGAGGGTGGAGAGGAGGGCGGAGTCCCGGGTCTGGGGAATTTGCCTTGCAAATGAGCAGGTGAAGCTGTGTCTCCTTTGAATACCTGGAAAGAAAAAGACTGTGGCTGAAAGGCAGGCATGTCTTTGGAAAGAAGCTGGCCCGCAGTATGCAGGTTGTATGTTGTATCTGGGAAGCAAGGCCTCCATCTCCGGTGTCGGGGGGTGAGGGTGCTCCCTTTTGGGTGGGAGAATGGATCCTGTTTGCAGTCCCTGCAGAGGGCCCTCTTCCAAGTCCCTCCCCTCAGGTCTCTCTCTAGGTGCTCACTGCTGGGAGTGGTGTGTGTGTTGGTGGGGAGGGGTGCCAGGTGCTGACTGCTGAGAGAGAGAGAGAGAGTGAGTGTGTAGGGGGGGAGTTGGCCGAACCACTCCTTGCTCAGTGACTCATGCAAACACATGACTGAGGGCCTATTCCCTCCACTCCAGGGACCTTACAGAGTTAGAGTCTCAAATGTTACATCCACAGATTCCAAGTGTCTCCGGAGGTAGAGCAGACGATGGGAAGAAAGGAGCTGTGGATTGTTAAGAAGTCACCAGGGCACGGAGGGGGCTGCACTCTGGGGTCCGTGGTTGTACACTGGCTGCAGAGTGTGTCTCGATGCCCGCTTCGGATTCCCTTCCCACTTAGGGCTTGCACCATCTTTCTCAAAAGTCCATGGCGTTTGGTGCTGACAGCAGTCCTGTGGTGTATTTTTATGATCTGTGTTTGACATACGGGGCATCGAGCCTCAAGGAGCTGAAGCGGGTTTCCAGGGCTGCAGCCAATAGGTCACTGCAGACTCCGGCCTATTGAGCCCAAAGCCAGGCCCTTCTCTTTTCTTTCCCTTCTGGCCATCATTTTGCTGCCGCTGTGAGAGAAGTCCTTTCTTCCTGCTCCAGTCCCCGAGGCCCCCACTCTGAGGGGAACCTGAGCTTGCTGGGAAGGACCTGCAGCAGGTGCATGGGAGTGATGGAGTGAGGGGAGTGGGGGGAGAAAGAGCCCAGGCCAGCGACTGAGCAGCTTTTGCAGGGAGACAGGGAAAGGGGCAGAGGGGGAGGGCAAGGGTGGCTGAGGACAGGTGAGTGAGAGTAGCTGAGGGTCGCTCTGAAGAAGCCGAGCCTAGGCACAGGCTTGGAGCTTGGAGAGGGAGAGCAGGAGGTGGAAGGGACAGCAGATGAGTGCTGACAGGTGTAGGGCAGGCCCTGGAGTACCCACATCCTCCTCATCTGCCCGTGGACACCTGCTCTGCCTCCACATGCCCGCACGGAGGCCACCACCCCTGTGACTTCGCATGCGCCAGCTGTCTTCATGCTTGCACTTGCCTTGACAGGCATGGGCCAGGCAGGGACACCCACAGGTCGGAAGCTGCCTTTCCCACCAGTGGTCCACCCAGGAGGGAGAGGGAAGGGAGGGGGTGTGCACCTTGGTGCAGTCAGGAGGGCGGTACATCATCTGTAGGGAATTTAAAAGCTGTAAGAAAATGGTCTGAAGTCATTCTGCTTTGTAATAACGCCAGGTGCAGGCAGTTCTGAACAGTGGTGAGTTCTCCCCCATCCTGTGGGGAGCAACTCGGACTAGACTGTTACTGGAATTAAGACTTATTCTATGCATCTGCTCTCCCACAATATGGCGCTGGGAGAGGAGGAAACAGCTTCTACACAGCTGCCTCCAGTTCAACCAATAAACTGCAGGACCTGCTCCTGATTGGAGGAGAGCAGCGTACTCGGCGTGTGGGTAGCAGAGTTGGGATTGGTGGAAGAGGACTATAAAGGAGGAGAGAGATGACATGCACCAGGAACATCTATCTGAAGGAACACCTGTGCAGCCCCCGAGAGAGCCAGCCGGCGGTGTGCCGCTCCCCTGCGGAAGTGGGGAAAGTGGCCAGGGGGAACCGCCCTTCCACGGAGGTGGAAGGGTTGGTAGCCAACCTGGGAAGAACCAGCAGCAAACCCGGGGAGGGCCGAGCAGACAAAAGAACAGCGCAGGGTCCTGTGTCGTTCCTCCACGAAGAGGGGGAGCGACACGTCCCCCTTGGCTGGCCATGGTTGCATCCTCGCCATGTAGTTTGCTAGCCTGTCGCATGGTGTAGGACCAGCATCTGGGCCCAGACAGTTTTGAAAGTTTTCTTCTGCTGTCAGATGAAATTCCTTCCTCATCCGTCCTGGTTCTAACCCTCTGGGGTTGTAGGGAATGTGTCTAATCCATCTTCCACGCTGGAATTTTCAGCATGTTCACAAGCAACTCTCTTCTTGCCCCCAAGGCTTCCCTTTTCCAGGCCAGATCATCCCAGGACACTGCCTCTCCTGGCCCCCACCCCCTGCCTACATTACCCTCCAAGGTGTTAGGAACGGCCCATTTTACTTACAGAGACACTGAGGCCATCCAGCCTTGGCACCCACATTCTGTCTATGTGACATCTCAGCCAGTGCACCCTGGGCCTGGAGCAAGGGGCTCCCTGGCGCCTGGTGCCTCCAAGCAGGTGGGGCAGGAGTGGGAAGTAACAGCAGGGGCGTGGCTGTCTTGCAGAAATCTCCTTCCGAGTGTGGATGTGCAGGGGCAGCCTGGAGATCATCCCGTGCAGCCGAGTGGGGCATGTCTTCCGGAAGAAGCACCCGTATGCGTTCCCCAATGGAAACACCAACACGTACATAAAGTAAGTGCACGCCAGGGGCTCGGCCTGCGTGGACTGCAGCAAGGTGGCCATGGCCCGGGCTCACAGCCATCCCTGGTGCTCAGTGAGGTGGCCCAAGTGTTTGGATGCACGGGAGCTGCACTTCTGCTCACTAGACTCTGCCTGGGTCGGGGAGTCCATGTTGACGTGCCCAGCATTAGGGCTAAGGCCAAGGCTTCCTCAGTGCCCCCCACCCCGAGGCCTCAGGGGGTTCCACACTGACCAAGGGTGTATGGAGTTCCTGGTAGATGCCATCCTGCAGGGCCGGGCTCCAGCAGCTGTGAAAGTTGGGGAGGAGTGGTCGTTTTTACCCAAGTGCCCAGTGCCCCAGAGGGATGCAGGCCAGGACAGGTGCTGAGGCCTTGGTCTGCTCTCCTACCTGCAGATAGCCCCAGATAGCCAGGACTCAGTGACCAAGGGCATGCAACTGCCTGTCCCCTCACCCCGCCCTTTGTGTCCCTTTCTCCTTCCCTTGAGCTCTCTCCACTTTTTCTCTTCTCCTTCCAAAACCATTCATGCCCATCCCTTTCTCCTTTGCATCTCCTTTCCCCGCAGCTCCTCTCCCTCTCCCTGATCCTCTCATTGTCTGATAGCTCGCTCCTCCTCCTCCTGGCCCCTCACCTCTGCCTTTTTCCTCTGCTGTGTGGTCCGAAAATCAGCAGGGCAGGGAGCCGTGGGGAAACAAAGCAGGGCTGCCTTAGCTCCCCGGGTTTCAGAAAGTAAAGGTAAGCTGGGGGCAGTGGCTGTGCTGGAGCCGCGTGCCTGCCTGGGGCTCCAGACACTTGTGATCTTGGAGACTGCCACTCATGGACCTTTGGTGGGTAGAGAGACGTGGCCCAGATCCGCTCAGCGGGATCCAGTTTGCTGATGGTGAGATCAGTGTGAGGCCCTGTGAGCTGCCTCCCCTGCCCACAAACCAGGCTGCCTGTGCCTCTGTCATTTCAGCCCTGCTGCTTGGGAGGGCTCACCACACAGCTCCAGGGAACACCCCTGCTCCAAAACAGATCTAGAATCTGCAAGAGCAGCCCCTTGTAGTTAGAGCCCAAGTGCACGTCCATGGGCCTTCCAGGTGCTGCTGCTGCTGGGGCCCCAACCCCCTGCTTGTGTTCCAGTACCTTTTCTCATTGCTCAGGGGCCCTTCCCAGCACCTCTGAGCCCCTGACTGCTCAAGGATGACATTCTCAGTGTCTGTCTCCTTTTCTTTAACCTTTGGGGTCAGACTCAGAGCCAATGCTTGATTAAAACAACTCAGAGCTGGCCAAAGGTCTGGAAGAGATGGCTTGATTACTTAATCCTGTACACCTGTGCCGAGCTAATTGCACAGCCTGCGGGGAGACCATGCGTGTGCTGATTTTCCACCTGGAGAGCTGGAACCTTAGCGCCTGAGAAGCCAGGGCAGGAGCCCCAGCGGGGTGAAAAGCAGGTGGTCGCACAGGCGCTGCCTTGCACGCAGGGTTGCTGGCAGCCAAGGGATGTGCCCACCTCACCTGGTTCTTATCTCCTGCCAGTTTCTGGCGTGATTTCTCTTGTCTGTGCCTTCTGGGGAAAGGTTTGTTATTCAAAGCATCCTGTGTCTCGGGGGAGAAAGCCCGTTTGGAAGCCAGAGTGGGTCCTGGCTGCACTCGGCATCCTTGGAGCAGTGGTGTCACTGGCCCAAAGCAGTCGTGTGTGTTGGAGCTGGAAGGGCCACGGTTCCTTGCCGACAGCTCCTTCGTCTGCCTCGCCCAGGAACACCAAGCGGACGGCGGAAGTGTGGATGGATGACTACAAACAGTACTACTATGCCGCCCGGCCCTTCGCCCTGGAGAGGCCCTTTGGCAAGTGAGTGTCCGTCCTGGGGTTCAGTGGGGCGGGGAGACTGAAAGGCACCCAGGCTGTAGGCTGAGGGTCTGAGCTACTGGCCCTGAGCTGCGGCCATCTCTTCTTCTTAGCCCCTAGCACTCCAGCCCACTTCTGTGTGCAGGTCTTCTTGCCACTCTTGTAGAAATTTCTGGCAACAGGGGCTGCCAGCTCTGTAGGCACTCTGAGCTGTGCTGTGTCTAGTGCACTCACCTTCCCAGCTTCGTACAGAAAGATGGGATGTGGGTGAGGCAGCCTGAGCCCCTCGGTGCAGGGTCCCTTCCCCTGCTCTCAGTCACCCATGCCCAAGCCCCCTCCTCCTGTGGTTCTCCCCGGGATGGCTCTGCTTGGGTTTCCGGGGGTAAGAAGATGGGGAGAGGAGTGATTACTGAGAAGGAGATACCTTTGCAGAAGGCACCTCATTCCTCCTCCTCAGACTCAGAAATGGGACCAATTCCCCCTGTTTGATAAGGAGGCTGAGGCGTCTACAGGTGGAGGCCCTTGCCCCAGATTGCACAGTTTTGCAAGAGGCAGGTGCACACTCAAATCGTACCTTTTTGATTCCTAAACTAGATGACCTGGCACTCCATACCCTAGAGCTGTTTGGAGTTAATAAAAAATAGAGGTTGAGTTTGCAGGTGCAGGATCATTTATGTTTCTTCGGGGGGCTTTTTGTCATACCAATGTCGCTCACTGCTTGTGATACAGAGGCTGTTGAGCAGATTTTTTGAAAAAATTTTTTGCAGCTTAAGCGTCATAGGTTGAGGCCATCCCTGTGTGGGAGGCTTAAATTAGAACCAAAATGATTTCACCTTGGAGAGCCTAAGCCCACCCCATCCCTGCAGCCCCACTTGGGGCCTTGCCTCTCATCCCTTGTCAGTCAGATCCTCTGGCCCACTGTCCAGGCCCACCCCAAACCCCTTCCCTCCTTCCATCCCCCTGGTCCCTCTCCAGCTGGGATCCCACTCTCTTGCTTGAAAGCAGAGCTCTCTCCAGATCCTCCACCTCTTTGTCCATCTATTAACACCCTCTCCTCTCCCCACAAAGGCTTCTCAGCCCTGGACAAACCTGACTTTGCACCTCTTCCTCTCCTGCACGCAGGCTGCTGTTCAGTACTGGAAATACCAGGTAGTGCCACTTCCAGTGCCCCGTGGCCATCAGCCTCCTCAGGGCACCCCCTGGCCTTGCTACCCACCCCAATCCACCCCAGCCCCAGCCTTCCGATGAAGCAGGCGCCAACCTGCCCGGTAGGTCCACTGCTGCATCTGCGCCATCCTTCTTGGTCCCTGGTCTCCCAGGACAGGCTGTGCTTGCTGTGCGCCAGGCCAGCCCTCCACCTGTACTCCAGATGCGCCATTCAATCCTGCGCTCATTCATAAATCAGCATTTTATTGAGTTCCTGCTGCCTGGATTCATCTCCTCCTGGCGCGGGGCTTCTCAAACTTTAATGTACACACGGCTCTCCCGGGGATCCTGTCAAAATGCAGACTCTGACTCCAGAGGTCTGTGTTGCTAATAAGCTCCCAGGTGATGTGACGCTGGTGCGAGAAGGTCCCCCGGCTGGTCAGCTTCTAGAACCTCTGGGGGAGTGTCCTCGCCCTTCCCCCAGGGAGTTCACTGACCTGCTCCAGGCACTGGCTGGGGCTGTAGAATTTGTAAGAGACCCTCACCCGGTGATTGTCTTGTTCAGAGGAGCATGGGCACGTAGTCCCCCAGGTGCCCCCCCCCCGACCCCATCTCTTTTCTGCTGCATCATTCTGTGAGCAGCAACTGCCCCAGCCTGGCCCAGCTATGACTCCCTGGCACCCCCAGCTGTCCCCATGAGCATGAAGAGGTGATGCCTCCCCCACTGTTCCCTTCTGCTGAGCCCCTGCCCCTGGCTTTCCTTCCCCTGCCAGGCTCCACCTTTGGGGTCCTGTCTGGGGGCTCAGTCTCCTCTTCCAGTCCTCACAGGGTGGTCTGTTAGAGGCCCTCTGCTCACCATACGTCCTCCCCGGCACTCGAGGCCACCTCTGTGCTGCTGGCATAGAAACATCTCAGTTTCTAACCTGGACCTCTTCCTCTGAGTTCCAGGACTTATGTTCAGGAATCAGCTGACCACCCCCACCTGGATGTCCTCCAGGAGCTTCCATCTCAACGAGTCCCAAACAGAACTCATGGAGCCTGCTCCTAACCCTGCTTCTTATCCCACATTCCCCACCACCTTGCACCCCTTGCACCCCATTGCCCAGGATGTCAGCTTGACTCCTCCTGCTCGCTCTCCTCTCCCTGCCCCGTGCAGTCACTGTCCTGTGACACCGACTCACTGTGCACCAAGCATCCTGATGCTGACCATTTGGCCTCGTAGAAAGCTGCCCTCCTCCCTGGCCCTGGGGAGCACATAGTCAGGGGGTGTGGCTGGTGCTGGCTGCAAGCCCTGGAGCCACCCTGGGGGTGAGGCTGAGGGAGGGGCACCCTGGCAGGAGGAAGTGAGACTGGGGGAGAGGAGGCAGGGCCAGTTCCCTCTGCCTGCCTGGGAATGGCAAGGTGGGCGCTGTTGCTTAGGTACAGGTGGTGGGACGTGGAGAGCATGACAGGGTCTTTTCCTACTCCCACTTCCCCGTTTGAGCAGCACTGGGGTTTCCACAGCCACAGGGCCCTGCCCCCTGAGCCCAGCTCTGACCCATCCCACCATTCCCACTAGGTGGCGCTCTGCTCAGAACACATCCATTCCATCACTGTGCCTCGGGACCCCTGAGGGTCTGTACAGTCTGTGTCCCTGCTCTGCCAGGCCCTTTCCCCTCTCCCCTACCCCTGCCCACCACATCTATTGTGGGATTCCAAGTGCAGCTCTCCAGGCACAACTTCTCTCATTTCCTGCTGATCTTGGTTTGCTCCCCTGTGCCCCTGCCCCGCCTGCCCCCTGGTTTGTCAAGATTGATGTGTGCCCCTCCTTCCAGATGCCAGTGTGACCATTACCATGTGAAGCGCCCTGCTCCCAACATGCAAGGACACCCCCCCCCTGGTGTCCCACAGCCCACACGGACCCCTCTGTGGCCCAGGGGGGCTGGGATGGTTTGTTCCATTGCCTTCTCCCACCGTCTGGAAGCTTTGCAGCGCCTCCCATCCAGGGCACACGGCCTGACACATGCCAGCTGTCCTGGGGATGATCTTTGCAGAACAAATCCCACCCATGCCCCCAGCCAGCTGAAGAAGAGCGCTCTGAGGCTGGGGCCTGGGCCACAGTTTATCAGCTGCAGAGAGACTGGGAGGAGGCCCACCCAGAGCCCCGATGGTGAATTATTAACCACACAGCAAGTGTTCTCGCCACTTTGCTTTTAATGAAAAGTTAAAAACACTCCCAAAGTCCATTTTCAGCCCTTGATGTCTTTGCTACAGTGCTGTGAGGTTCCACTGAGGGTTTCCGTAGCTCTGCCTGCAGCCATGGGAATCTCCTCCTGGTCCGTTTTCCCAGCACCCGCTGGAGAGACATGGAGGAGACGTGTGGGTGTGGGTGGTGCCTTGTGCTCTCTGTCCCCAGCCTCTGACAGCCTTGCTTTGTCTCCCCTCCCTCCCCCCCAGCATACGGAGCAGAGTGATGCTGAGGGCCAATCTGCAATGCCAGGACTTCAAGTGGTACCTGGAGAACGTCTACCCGGAGCTCAGGTACGCCCCCTGCTGGAGCCTCTGCTGGCTGCAAGGACAGCGTGGCACAGGGAGAGGGCTTTGCGTGGCAGTCTGCGGAGGCCTCCTCATCCCTGATGCCAGACAGGATGGATTGTACTGAAGCCGGGACAGGATGGGTGGCATGTAGCTGGTGGCGGTTTCTCAGCTACCAGGTCTGAGCCCCAGGTTGCAGCCCAAAAGCATAGGCTCACTGACCCTGGCTCTGCCCACCCCCGTGGACCCTGGGCCCTGCCATTCACACAGCACCGCCCGCCCCTTCCCTCCAGGATCCCCAAGGATTCCTCCATCCTGAAGGGCAGCATCCGGCAGAGGCACAAGTGCTTGGCGTCTCAGAAGCAGAACAACCAAGGGAGCCCAAACTTGAAGCTGAGGCCCTGTGTCAAGTTCAAAGGCGAGGAAAGCAAGGCCCAGGTACAGTAGCCGTGAGCCCGTCTGTGTCGCCTGCTCTATGTGCCCTCACGTGCCTCATGACCCCAGGTCAGCAGGAGGGAGCCCACCTGCGCCTAGGCTTCCGTGTTCTCAGAATTCCTCCAAAGGGGGGCATAAGAACTGTGCATTCAGTCAGCAGCAGGGGAATGAGCTGTTCTTGGTGGCAGTAACAGTGTGGGCTGGGTCAGGCAGGGCTGGTGGCACAGCCACCTCCCACCAGCATGACGTGCAAGGGAAGAGACGCCTGTGCTGGGCAGTACTGCCCCGGGGTCCAAAGGCCTACCCTGTGGGCCTCCCAGGGCCGACCAGACCACCAGCATCTGCAGCCCCATCTCAGGGCAGGGTCATCGCGCCACCCCATGCCCCCTCCCCCAGAGGTCCCTGGCTCCGCCTCGGCCTCTCCTGCTTCCCCCAAGTCCACAGCACCATTGTGAACCTTCTCAGAAGACTCTCCTGGACCCACCCACAGGGGCTCCCCCCACTCCACCCCCCACCACGTGCTCTCTGGTTTGAGGCCAGAACTGCTCTTGCCAAGGTCACTGACAAATTCACAGCTCGCCTCCACCTCTGGAGCCTTGGCCCGCTGAACACACTACAGCACGCCCATCGTGTGACCTCCTCCTGGCTCCCGTGGCTCCCTGGCCCCCATTCCCCTGCATTCTGGTTCTTTCCATCACTCTCATCCCCTGTGGTGGCTGCTTGCCAAGGTCCATGGTTTGCAGTTCTTTTCCCTGTGAACGGTCTCCTGGAGACTTTCTCCATGCTTCCCGCTTTGATAATCTCTTTCTTTTTAAGATTTATTTTATTTATTTGAAAAGCAAAGTTACAGAGAGCCAGAGAGAGGAAGGAAGGGGAGGAGGGAGGGAGGGAAGTGGGAGAAAGGGAGAGAGAGAGGGAGGAAGGGAGAGAGACAGACACAGAGGAGAGAGCTTCCATCCTTTGGTTCATTCCCCAGGTGGCCACAACTGCCAGGGCTGGCCCAGGATGAAGCCAGGAGCCTAGAACTCCATTCAGGTCTCCCACGTGGCTGGCAGGACCCACGTACTTGGGCCATCTTCTGTTGCCTTCCCAGGTACATTAACAGGGAGCTGGATTAGAAGTGGAACACCTGGGACTTGAACCGGCACCCAGATGGGATGCTAGCATCAGAGGTTGCGTCTTGACCTGCTGTGCCACAAGGCCGGCCCCTCCTCTGTTCATTGATTCATCAACTTTGTATCTTCATCCATCCACAACTCAGTCAGTCAGTCATTCAACAAACACTTCTCTGCCAGCTGTGCAGATTGGAGATGAAAGGCTAGGCGGCAGGCCTCACTGGGCCTGAGGCAGGTGCAAATGAGTGAGTGACACAGTGATGGCAGCTCAGTCCTGGGCGGAGCTTCCTCTGGGGTGCTGCTGGAGCACCCCTAGATGGCATCGGCTCACACACGAGGAACAGGGAAGTCTTCCTTCCCTGACAGAGCTGGGTGGTCCCTGGTGTGCAGCTGCGTTGCCCACCTGGGCACTCTCTCAGGCAGACTCTCCGTGGTTCACCTGCACAGATGGCTGCGGGTGCCGGTTGGACAGCAGCCAACCCCTCACGCCCCAACAGCCCACCTGTTCCCTCCATGTGACCACCTCCTCTAGGCTTGTGCTCCCACCTTTGCAAGTCCCGTCTCATCTGTCCTCGAAAGAGCTGTTTGCAGGCCCTGGCTGTGTTCGCCTCTTGTCTGATCCGTGTTCCTCAGCTTCAGCACTGAGGGCACGTGGGGCCATGTGCTTCTTTGCCGCGGGGCTGCCCTGCATCTTGTGGGCTGTCCAGCAGCACCGTGGCCTCTGCCCATGGACACCTGGAGCACCTGCCGCCTCCTCCCACACCTTGTACAACCAAAGATGTCTCCCAACGCTCCCTCTGGGGCCAGGACCTCTGTGTTGGGCACCATTGGCTTAGGCTGTGGTGCAGTTCCCAGCTGATCCTCCCATGCTCCAGCCCCTGCCTCTCAGCCCCCACTTCTCAGCCCCTGTTTTGCATGTCATCTCCAAAGCACTGCTCCCAACCTTCCATGGCTCCCCATTGTCCACCACCACAATCCAGGCCGCCTGGCTCTGGCTCGCGTGGCTTTCCAGGAATTTTCTCTGGGCTGTAGCAGGCCAGGGAAAAGGGAAGGTAGCCCAGGTGTGGATTTTGCCCCAGGTGCAGCTGGCTTGAGTGGCATTTTGTGAAGTGTTGTGGTTGATGACGCTCATCCTGCTTTCTTAGTCCATGTGTGAACAGTGCCCATGGGGATCCCAACAGCCATGTGCTGTCTCCCTGCTTTCCTGGGACAGGAGTCGGCGTGGCCTGTGCCCAGCGATGCATGGGCTTTTCAGGCTCTTGCTGTCTTTGGCTGCCTGAGAAAGTGGGAGGAAGGAGCCTTGGGCTCTAGTGGTCTCCGAGTCATGTGTGTGTGTGGGATGCCCCCTGCAGCACTGCCTCACGCGCTCCCTTCTTCCAGTGTCCCCTCTGCCTTCGTCCATGTCTGCCTGCTTCCCCACAGCTTTGGCTAACAGTAGGTCATGACAGAGGTCTCTCCTCTTAACCCTGCTCCACTCACCACCTCCCCACTGTGTCCTGTCTGTTCCACCTGCCTCCTGGCCGGGCCCGAGGGAGTCACATCCATCCCCCCCCCCACACACACACATGCACAACACCATGCAGCCCTCGGCCCCTGTTCTGTCTTGAAGGTCCTATCAGGGAAGTGACAACAGAGCCCCATGAGGCAGGTAGTACTATCACGCCCATCTTACAGGTGGTGAAACCAAGGCTCAAAGAGGTTTCACTTACCTGTAAGTGATGAAGACAAGTTTGGAAAGCCTGCCCGCCCTTGGATACACTCTGCTGTTGCGGATGCTGGCAGGATGCTGGCTGGTTCTGGGGCTCTCTTAGGTGGAATCATGGGAGAAGACCCCTGTCCCCGAGATTTCCCTTTGAGGTTGCAAATATTAGGGGCATAGCTCAGCTCCATCTTGACGGGAGAGAGCTAATGAGACCGGGTCCTGCATGGGCAGCTCCCAGAGGCAGCGCCTGTGTCAGGGTCTAGGGTCGGGCAGGCCGGAGGGTAGTCCATCCCCTCCTGACATCTGTGGGCATTGGTGGAAGAATGTGAGGACACCTGGAGCACCTGCCGCCTCCTCCCACACCTCATACAACCAAAGATGTCTCCCAACACTCCCTCTGGGGCCAAGACCTCTGTGTTGGGCACCGTTGGCTTAGGCTGTGGCAGCAGTTCCCACTGATCCTCCCATACTCCAGCCCACGTGCCATGGACTCTGCCCCGGGTCACAGGAACACACACGGCAGCGCTGGCCTCCCGCCTGTGCCTGCAAGCAGCTCTGCCCCACACCGCGAACCCCCAGCCTGTACATCCAAGTGTAGTCACGCCCCTCTAGATGGTCTGAGATGAGATCCACACAGGCCCGAAGTGACCATCGGCCCGGAGCTCGTAGGGTGCTGGATCCAGGAGAGATGACCATCGGCACGGGGCTTGTAGGGTGCTGGACCCAGGAGAAATGAAAAATCAGCGCGGTGCTCGTAGGGTGCTGGACCCGGGAGAGATGACCATCAGCACGGGGCTCGTAGGGTGCTGGATCCAGGGGAGATGACCATCCGCACGGGGCTCGTAGGGTGCTGGGCCTGGGAGATGGGACCTGGAGCATGCACCCTGCCTCCAGCTGGCCGCTCCCTCTGTAGGTGTGAGCCTGAGGCACTGCTGTGCTCATTGTTATAAGGAGGTTGTTTCGTTCCCCAGCTCTGACACCGATGTCAGCCAACTGATGCTCGGGGTGAAACCCGGGAGAAATGCAGCATCCTTTTGTACACATGTGAAGCCCAAGAAGTCACCAGATCAACAAGTTTCCTCTTCATGTTATTGGATTCTCTAGGAAAATATTTGTGAGAGGTCAAGGGAAGGCCGGTGCAACAATTTAGTTCCACCCGATATAAGGAAGGAACGGGCAGGGGTGTGGAGGGAGAGCACTGACTACAAGAATCTTCTTGTGTGCCTCCGCTGTGTCGTGTCCCCAGCAGTTTAGGCTGCTGGCTCATGGGGCAGGAGTGCAGGCAACAGCTTGGCCCCGGAAGGTGGAATGACAATGACAATTCTTCCCCAACCCTGGACTCTCACTCGCACCTCCTCCACTGGCTGTGTGATCTGAGTCTGCAGAGGGACAGGCTGCCAGCCTGGTAGCACCTTCCTCCCTGTGCCTTCTCGGCACAGCCTGGGCATGGAATCCTCACAATGGACACTCCTAGGCGGTTTGCCCAAGGAAGGTCTGAAGGGCTACTGTCTCGCATCTGGGTGGCTGCCCCCAGTCACCATCCTCAGTCATTGGTGTTTGCTAAACAGAGGCCCAGTCTTGGCACATGTGTGTCAGCCCATTTATTCCTGTCAGTGACCCTGTGAGGTTGGCACCCATAGTATCTTCATTTTGCACCTGGGGGAGCTGAGATACAGAGGCTTGGGTCACCTACCCAAGTTCCCGACATTGATAAGCAAGTGAGCCAGGGTTTCAGACCCACCCTGGCCGTCACCCCAGAGCCCCATTGCATGACCCACAAAGAATGTATCGGGTGTGGGGTTTCCATCCCAACATAGGTTACTGAACTCTCGCAGTATGAGAGGAAAGGACAGGAGCAGCCAGAAATAAAGACCCCAAAAGTGAGTGCAGTGAAGGTCCCAACCTTGGGGCCTGGCAGGCCACCCAGCCACCTCTGCTGAGAGGCGTCCAGTGGGGAGAGGCTGAGGTCTGGATCCACACAGCTGCTGAGGCAGCACCCGCACAGCCACTCGATGCAGCTGGGTTGTGGTCAGGGTCTAAGACCATCATGAGGTTGATCCTTCAATGACATAGATGTGTCAGAGGGTGGTGGGCAGACGGTTTGGTTGAACCCAGGCTCGTTCCCTCCAGACAGCTCTGTGGCTTGCACCATGGATGAGCAGAAGAGTTCTGGGGCCAGCTATTGGCCCTGAGTGCTCTCAACTCGAGTCCCATCTTGCTCGAGTCCCAGTTTGCTCCTGGCTTTTCCCAGTGCTGCCATTGACCTGGGACCTCCTGCTTCCATGGAACAGTACCCTCCTCCCAGGGTTGCCATGAGCATTAAGTGGACAGTGGATTTGAGGCACCTGGAACCAGGCCCGATGCTTGCTAGAGTCCCTAACTAACACAATACCAGCGCTGCTGCCTTGTCACCTTCACTCACTGTTCCCCCACACAGAAGAATCTTTGAGCCTGAAACCTGGCAGCATCAGCACATGACACAGCCTCTGGCTTGCTGAAAACACAGCACCCAACTTCTCTCCACGGGCTGACATTTCTCTCGCTCTGCCCAACTGCTTCTCCTTGCCACGTGTCCTAGAAGTACACGGAGCGCTTCAGTCTGAGCCAGGGCCAGGCTCTGGACTAACTGTCTGTTATCCCCCTGTCACTGGACAGAGCAGGTCTTACCAGGACTCCACCCAGGTCGAGCCCGAGAGATGCCAGGGCAGGGCTCAGGTGCATATCCACCAACTCCAGAGCTCTAGGACACGGCTGGGGCTTCTCACCTGACACTGTTGGATTTAGGACCAGACCCTCCTTCGTGGTGGGGCCCATCCTGTGTGTCATAGGATGCTTGGCAGCCTCCCCGGCCCCACCTTCTAGGTGCCAGTCACACACCCACACCCCGATGTAATGGGCTGGCTGAAGGCGAAGTCAGCCCAGCTTTTTTTTTCCTGCTTATCAGTGGAGGGGGCTGGGCCATTGCAAGGCCAGTAGCCCTGCCTGGGCCCCTGACTCATCCTCACGCCTGCCTCATTCTGTTCCCTTTGGTGCGGCTTTCCTCTCTGTTTCTGCATCCAAGGCCACATGGGCAGTGGCTGGGGAGAAGGACACTCCTGGCCCAGCAGCACTGGCCTTCTCCAGGGACGTCCCCTAGTGCAGGTGGCCTTGGGGCTGCCCTGCCTGGGTTTACTCGTCAGGGACCTTCCTCTGCCCTGCCAGACCCTGGGTTACCTTCCACAGGGACCCCTGTGAGTGTCACTTGGGGGTGGGGAGGGACATCCGTCATGGGCTATGCTGTGGCCAGTTCCCCAGATGGAGTGGTCAGCAGAGGGCCCAGCATTCACCGGTCAGGCCCGTTCTGCCTGTCGGTTCCTGATTTCTGAGTCGTCTAATAAATCTCTTCATCGTGGGCTGTTGTGGGAGTTCTGACGGGGGCAGGATAGGACTTAGGACACTGCTGCTTGTTTGTCTCCCCCTCCACTGGCCCCTGTCTGCTGCTGCTCCCCCTCCCTCTTCTCTGCAGAGGTGGCCATAAAGCAGCCTTCTCTGAGAAACAGTGAGGCTCAGCCCCAAGGCTCCCTCCAACCCCAGCCCCCGCCACCCCAGCACAGCAGGGAGCCTCAAGGGCTCCTTCCAGGAGGCATTCCTCCCATCCCCCACTGCCAGTTTCGGAGGCCCCTTGGATATTAACAAAAAAGATGAAATGCCAAAACGGGCTTTCAGAAACTGTGCTCAAGCCATGCTTTTAACTCAGCAAACACAACTCACTGTGTCGTGGCAAAGGCAAACTTACTTTCTTGATGCTCATGTGTGGTTCCCTGCAGGCTGTGTGGTCACGTAAGGGCACGGGAAAGATGAACTGTGTTGTCTTCCCTCATTTGGGGTCACTTTTTATGCCATGGGCCTGCAAGAATGTCTCTGCCAGGCTTGCCCTTGGACTTGGCCTTGGGCCGACTCCCCCTCCCCATTCTCCCTTCCCCCCACTCCCTTTCACTCTGTCTCCCCCTCCCCTCCCCCTCTCTCCCTTCCTCTCCTCCTGCCCCTTTCAGCTCTAGGAGTACCATGGGGCCACACCCAGGGCCCAGTCCCTCTTCTATATCACACCCAGATAGCTAGGGCCTCACTTCAGGGCCTGAGTCAATCTCATCCCTGGTTCTATCCTCCCTGAGTAGACTGAGTCCCTAGTACATATCCCTGGGCCCTAGGGGGACCATTTAGAGGGGCATGACTGAGCCTGGCTATGCAGGCTGGGGTTTCCAGGGATCACACAGAAGCCAGCATTGTTGGGTGTGACCCTGTGGCCTGATGTGGAACCCTTGGTATGGGGGCCTCCACTCACCCTCATAGCCCAATTCCCAGAGATGTCAGAGAGTGACATCTGGTAACGTTCCCAGGCAGGCCAGAGAGTGGCCTGTCCCACCCCAGACCCTGACAAATGGTAAGTTGGGGGTGACTATGGCCTTTGCATGCCTTTTCTTTTGCAAACTGCCAATGAAGGAGACTGTCTCAGAGGCCCTGTCCTGTCCTGTCACAGCCGAGCTGATGCATGGTTTTAATATTTACAACCTTCAAGAGGACCCTCAGGGCCAGGCATCTTCTCCTGTGATTACCCTTGCTGAAAGGAGCCCTGGAAGCAGCGGGGACCCTGCCAGCCCCAGCAGTAGCAGAACTGTTGGAGAGAGTTGGTGTGGTACCTGCTGGTACATGACCTTGGGTAACCTCTTTGAGCCTCAGTGTCATGGTCTGTAAAAATGAGGTAATGCTGATACCTGCTTGGTGGGATTTGTAAGAAGATCACATTCATCTGCCTAGACCTGTCAGGGCAGGTGTTAGCTGTTAGTACAGTGTCATGGTTACCGCGTCAGCCCTGGGGGTGCAGACGGCTTCCCCTCTCTTATCCTGGGAAGGTGAAAGGTCTGTGTGGAGTGATGCTCACAAGGCCAGTGTAGAAGTAAAATAGTGGAAAGAACGTCCACGGACCCTTCTTCTGGCTGCAGGAACTCAGTGGTGGTCAGACTTGATCCATCTTTGTCTCCTTCCCCGGAGACTCCCCAGGTAGACTTTTCTGCTCTGGGTCTTCCCCCAACACCAGCAGTTTGAAAAGGGACAGGAAAACCCTGGGGCTTGAGCCATCCTTAGGGGCCAGCACTCCTACTGGGCTGGTGGCCCCACACAAGGGAGCTGGGAAGAGGAAGGGCCTGAACTGGGATTGTTGTCCAGCAGGCCAGGCCAGCTTGGGTAAGCCAGGCAGTCAGGGCAGCAGAGGACCTGAGCCAGTGGGCGGGAGGGGAAGAAGAATCAGAGAGGCGTGAACGGTGCTCAGCTGATCGTGGAGGTCAAGGTGGGACCCCAGGGCCGAGGCACCCCGTGTCTTGTTTTGGGGACTCTTGGTCCTATGACAGGGGCCTCAGTGTGGGAATTGTCGTTGGCCCCCAATGAAGGCCAAGGGTAGATGTCCCCAACTTTATAGCTGGGAACAAGGCTCTCTGTGGTTTGTTGTTAACAGCTGTTAGGCTGGCACTGCCTATTCCCTGGCTTGAGAAGTGAGGAGCACTCAGGCCTGGTGAGCAGAGGCTGTGCTGGGAACCCTGGTACTGGGGCCGGGGGTGGGGGCAATGCACCTGCACCCCCGTGCTGGCGAGGACTCTCCCGACGCCCCTTTTCCATCATCAGAGCTTGGCCCCTCCATCTGGTTTCTCGGCTTCTCTCCCCGTGGGAGATCAGGGGCCTGGGGAAGGCAAGTGCACTCTGGGAATCATTTGCTTTCTCGTGGCCACGTTCCCCCCACCTACTGTTCCTCCATCTTTGCCCTCGGGACCCTGCCTCCATCCTGCTCTTGTCATCACACTCGTGTTCTCATGACTCTGACTTTGATTTGGTTTGAAAGAAGAGGGAATGCTCTGAAGACAGCTGGGGAGGGGATGCCAGGTAGCAGCTTGCAGCATCAAGTGTGGGGACAGACAGACACATGCTGGGGCCCATGTGCTTGGCTGGCCTGATGATGAGGCTCCTCCCAAAGCCCAGATCAGGAGCCGCCTTTGTGACCAAGGCCTGGCACACCTGGTGGGCTATGACCTCTGGGTCTCAGGCGCTTGAGTGGCATTTCCCACGGTGACTGTGTTATGGTCCATGCCTGCTAGGGCCCCAGTGCTTTTCACCAAGCCACACTGATCATCACACCTAGACTGAGCAGCAGCCTGCAGGTGGGGGCTCCTGGAACCAGGGTGCACCTGCCTGTTCCTCCCATCCCAGGCTGTGGATCTCACCTCCCCACTCTCTCCCCAGGTCTGGGCCTTTACCTACACACAGCAGATCATCCAGGAGGAGCTGTGCCTGTCAGTCGTCACTCTGTTCCCTGGCGCCCCTGTAATCCTTGCCGTTTGCAAGAATGGGGATGAGAAACAGGTGAGTGCTCAGTAGGTCCCCGGGGCTTGGGACACAAGTACCTGTGGTAGGTCACATCTCAGGTGCAAGAAAAGCGAAAAGCCATTAGAGGAGGAAGGGACCAGAAGACAGAGGGCCTCACGGTCAGGAGAGGGAGGAGAGAGCAGCCACTGGCAGTGTGGCCCCAGGTTCCTTGTGCTCAGATGCCGGTGTGCCCGATTTGTCCAGCAGCCCAGAGCTGGCTGCACATGGTGTCCTGCCCGCTGTATGCTGGGGTCAGGGACTGAAACTCAGATGCCTGTTTCGTGACCCACTGGTTGTGTGCCCCACGGCAGGTTCCTGGACCTCTCTGACTTTCCTTTTCTTCCCCTCTGAAACGCGGTTGGTGATGCTTAGGGCATGGGGTAGCTGTTGAGAGTGATGGACTGAGACAGCTCAGCACGTGGTTGGGGTGGTTCTCCATGCACTTCTGTCTGCTCTGTCCTTGTCGTGTGAGATGAAGCGTGGGAAACAGTGCGCGAGGCCCCGCCTGCCATCGCTCCCCTGCCCCTGCCCTCTATAACCTTGCAGAGCGTGGCCCCTCCCTGCATGCACCTGCGACTGTCTCGCTTCACATTGTCTGGCCCGTGACTTGCAAAGCCATTGCCGCATAAGATTTCCTAGCAAGCCCTTATTTTACTTTTAAGTTTTTTTTAACCCAATTAAACAAGTGCAGTCCCTGGCAGAGCAGTTAGCTGCACCCTCATTCCCTTTTTTCCCTCCTGAGACCTTGAACTTGAGTCTCTGTCCAGCTTTCTGATGGCACTACCACTCCCAACGTTACAGATAGGACCCCGCATGGCCCCAGCCCAGGCCCCCCTGGCTCATCCCCTCCCCTCTCTGTCTCCTCAGCAATGGACCAAGTCAGGCTCCCACATCGAGCACATGGCGTCTCACCTCTGCCTCGACACGGACATGTTTGGGGACAGCACGGAGGCCGGCACAGAGGTTGTCATCAACCCGTGTGAGTCTTCACTCATGAGCCAGCACTGGGACATAGTGAGCTCTTGAGCTCCCTTGCCTGGGGCCAGCGTGGCCTGTGAGGTTGGCACTTTCCCCCGGCCACAGCAAACTGGAAACCAGGCTGCAGGCAGCCCCTGACTGCTGCCCACGCCCTGGACTGGGAGGCGGAGGCAGAGCCCCCCAGGACAGGTGCGGCTGTCTCAGGGAGGATGGAGGAGGAGCTCGGAGGCCAGGGGGCTCCAAGACAATCTCACACATTCCCGGGGGCACGGAGTTCCTGGCCCCGTGTTCCTCTGCCTGGTCCCTGGAGACGGATGCAATGGGAAGTGTTCATGGCTCCCTTTCTTCCAAAAGAGAGAAAGCCTTCCCTGTCACCAGGCAAGGACTGGGCTGGAGGTTGTTTTCAAAACAAATAAAGTTACTTTTCGAAGTTGTCTCTGGGTGTCTCTTAGGCTATGTGTTCTGCCCCTGGCTGGGGGCTAAGCAGCTTCGCCATTGTGGTAGGGTCGGGGTAGGGGTGGGGTGCCTTGAGGACAGCGAGGTGGGCGGCCTGTGCCCCTGTTGTGGCTGCCACAGCCTAGCTGGGTGAGCTCGGGAAGACTCGTACGTTCTGTGGTGCACCTTTTCCTGTTGTGTCAACATAGGACCAGATCAGTGGTTTTTACAGACAAGACACTTCTCACTTGGGGAAATTCTTTCCAAGTTCCTCAGTGGAGATCTGAGACAGAGGATCCAGGGAGGGTCTGGGCTCCTCAGCTGGTTCCAATGCCCCTTCTGGGTTAAAGCAACCCTAGACGGCCTCAGTGGGCCCTTATGGGCCTGTGCCCTGTGGCTGTTAGCATGTGAGTTTCTTAGGTTAACAAGTCCCCATTTATGGATGTGCTCTGGGAATTGGTTAGGGTGGTTGCCCATCTCCTAGAAGAAACCACATATGTCATGGAGAAGTTCCCAGGTAAGCCCACACGTTCTCTACCAAGGTAAGTTCACTCTTCCATATCTATTGCTACATAATGAATTAGGCCAACGCTTGGCAGCTTGAAGCAACACGGGTTTCTTAGCTCACAGCCTCTGTGGGTCAGGCCTGGCTGGGTCCTCTGCTCGGGGCACCTTACCAGGACCAGTCAAGGTGCTGCCGGGGATGTGGGTCTCTTCCGCACTCAGCCAGTGCTGCTGGCAGGAGCTATTGGCCAGAGATGCCCTCAGGCCCTGGCCACGTGGCGTCTCCAGCAGAGCAAGCCAAGAAGGCAAGCGCTATCAGCAGGATGAAAGCCCCACTCTTTGACAACTGAATCTCATTTGGCAGCACTTCCGCCAATTCTGTTTGGCAGGAACTGTCACCAGGTCCAGCTCAGACTTGGAAGAGGCTTCTATGAGGGAGAGTGAAAGAGCACGCGCCAGGAGGCAGGGCTCAGTGGGAGCCATCTTAGAATCCACCCTCCATTGTAACTTCTGCATTCTAAGCAAGTGTCTGTCCCCTCATCCTGAAAGTCCTTCAGTGATGGGAAGAGGTTCAAGCTCATTGGTGTAAACCCCTTGACGACTGACCACTGTAGATTCAGGGAGTAAAGAGCCGAGTGTAGACAGACTCAGAATCTCCGCTGGGGGCTGTGTGTGCTTGTTGATTTGCTCCTGGTACCTGGGACTTGGCTGTTTTATCAGGGTCACTTCACTCTGCACTGGGAAAAGGAGACAAGGCCAGATCAAGCCATCAGTAGAAGACATACTGGTGGCTCCTTGGGCTCTATGTGCACGGGGTTCAAACCAACTTGGCAGGGAAGAAAGAGAATAGGAGCTTTTGCCAGAAACTGTTCCCCTAAGCAGGTGGAGCAGGAGCTGTGCTGGGATCGGTGAAAGCGGAGCCTGGTGTCGTCCTTACCTGTCTGCTTGTTACCCTCTGTAGTTGAGTTCCCTGGGACAAGAAAGGTGTCTCTTGCCTTTCTTTAGCCCCAGCACTTAGCTGGGCACACCAGGTTCTCAGTGGAGGTTTGTCTGAATGGATGATGGGAGAATAATTTCTTGCCCAAGGTGAAGCAACGTATGCAGATTTTACTATCCCTATGAGGTCATGGCCAGCAGGGGGCCTTGGGAGCTGGCTCAGACACCCAAGGGAATGGCAAACAGGAATGAAGGCCTCTGCTCCCCACCCCTGGTCTTATCTCAACCTCCTTTGATGTGGCAGAAAGCTGATGCTCAACTCTCCCACTGACCTTCCTGAGATCAGCAGAAGAGCTTGGGATAATAATGAAGAGGAGCATGGAGGGGAGTCTGCCAGTAGAGAGGTGGGTGGCTCTCAGGTGAGCTCACAGCAGATGTCTTGAGGCCCCCTTAGTGGGAAACTGATGATGCAAATAAGGGTCACTGTACCCACGTGGCCACCTCTATCCATGATCCTGGTGATGATGCAGCCGAGGTGAGAGGAACTGGTGATTGAAAAGCAAGCATAGAAGCAATTCCAACCTCCACCAATTCAAGACAAAGCTGACAGTGACCCATTGTAGTCCAGGGGACCCAATATCTGCACCTGCATGGCAGAACTGGTATGGCCAGGCCCCGGCTGACTGTCAGGTCTTTTGGTGGATACTGAATTAGAGTCCTCAGTCAACTCTGATCATTGAGTCTGAGGGCCAAATTTTAGTATCCTGGAATAGCTCACTTAGTCGGTCATTGGTAGCTGTGAGTGAAAGTGAAAGTTTGCCCCATGACACCAGCCTATGAGAACCGAGACGCACACACACACACAGAGAGAGAAAGAGAGAGAGAGAGAGAGAGACCTATTCTGATGATCTTAAGGACTCACAAGATTCAGACCTCAAATCATGCTTGGAAAATCTCTTCCTAACACAGTCTCCTATCATACCATGAAGTAAGGAGTTGGCCTAGAGTGACAGAATCCTCTCACCTGGCTGGTGCAAATAACACAGAGTTCTGAGTATCTCAATGGTGTGGTGTGTGTGTTCAATGTTCACACACACACACAAACACACACACCAGAGAGAGAGCTTCCATCCACTGACTCACTCCCCAGTGGCCATGACAATTGGGCACTACCAGGTCAAATCCAGGAACATAGGATTCTGCTCAGGTTTCCCACATGGTGGCAAGGGACACAAGTACTTGGGCCATCATCTGCTGCCTTCCCACATACTTCACAGGGTACTGGATTGGAAGTGAAGCAACTGGAACTCAAACTGGCCCTTACACGCGATGCCGGCAATGCAGGCTACTGCTTAACCCACTGCACCACGCTGGCCCCTACTGTGCTGTTTTATATAAGGAACCCAAGCACCTGTGGGTTTGGGTGTCTGCAGTGGGGAGAGGGAAAGACTGTGTCCTAGACCCAATCCCATGTGGATCAAGAGTGAGGCAGGAGCTTCTGCCTAGCTGGTGTCTGGGTTAGGGTTGGAGGTGAAATAGTTTTGGAAGAATGGGGAAGAGTAGGAGCTTCTGGGTGAATCTGAGCTTGGCCTGATGTCAAGCCCAGTGCTGTGTTCAGTCTGAGACTTACTCTCTTGGCATTTTTTTCCCTGACATGCTTAGTGATTTCTCCCCATGAGTTCAACTTGAGTAGAAGATTTTTCCTCTGGGTTTCTCCAATACACTGTTGTGGAGGCATCCTTCAGTTTTCATTTGCTCTGCTAGGGTTCTTTGGAATTGCATTGATTGCAAGCCAGTTTCTACATTGATCTCTCTGTAGGTGGTTTTCACACAGAGATGAGACTGTGGACCCGCCATCTCCATTCTTGGCATAAGCTCAGATTTTGATCTTTCACCAATTGCTTATTTCCACCTCAAATTTTAGTAGTTTTCATGCCATCACTGCTTCCCAGATGGTGGTGCATGGAGTTTAACTGGACTGTTCATGCACCCTTCATCTCTTTCTCCCTACTCTGGCTTTGAATTCCCACCTATCTTTGAAATTTGGAAACCATCCCCCATTGCTTTCAAATATAGGCATGATGTCAAATTGCCTTATCCAATATTTATATATGTGCAGGGGAGGGGGCTTCCTCTGTCAGCTCAGACAAAATTCCTTAGTGCTGTAATTAGCTGTCACCACTGTCTTTCCCACTGGCCATTGGACCGTATCTTATTGTAGACACTCAATAAATTTCTGTGAATGAGTGCGAGAATAAGCCTGTGATTCTATGGTACCACTTCCTAATTACCTCCTGGCTAGTTATCAGACATTAGAGTTTTAAAAAGACAGCTAAGACAGAAACGGAAGACTGAGAAGACAAACTTATAACAATAAAATCTCGTTACAACACACATCGATTTAGGGATCATGAATATTTTACGTGATAATGACAAAGTTTAATACTGAAAATGCTAACTGGAAAGAGCTATCAGCAATGGAAATCTTTAATACTGCAGTGAAGCCTGGCAAGACAGAATCTGTTCTCATAAACTCTGGGGTGGGTGGTGATAGATCAGAGGGTGTGGACCCGTGTATCTCTTCTGCAGAAGTCTCAGGCATGTTCCCTAGCATCTGGTGACCCGAGTGCTGCTGGCTTTCAAGGACAGTTTCACCTTGATACTGCTGCGCTTGGCAGTTTAACTTCAGGAGCAGAGTTCAAGTTGTAGCCACCCACCACTGTAGCTCACCCAAGGTGGGATGAAGTGCCTTGCTTCCCCTGTTTCCACATGCTGAGCTGCCATCCTGCCTCAATACGTCCATTCTGTTAGCACCATGGACAGCGCCTGATGACCCTGTAAAGGTGTATGTGTGTTCCATGAGAGATCTGGCAACTGCACAGATGGAGAGCCTCTGGCAGGTCCCTCAAGGTAGACAGAAGCCTCTTCCCCCAACCCCCTGCAGAGCCAACCGTCTGAGCTCCCTCCTGGCCAATGCTCTCTGGCAGCCCAACTCGGATTAGCCAACTCCAAAGCTCTGAGCACTTTTCCATTTGCCATGGAGCCGCCTAATTTAATGAAGCCGTCACAGTGCAAACCTCAGGGCTTATTGGAAAAGGACTCGAGCACGACATTATTTCACAGCAGTAGATTGCATCATTTTCATTTCACAGCTTTCCAATGGGAAATAATAAAACAAAATTACAAACATAATGAAGAAAGAAAGAAAAAAGCTCGGGTGAGAGACGCATCCTCTGTGCTGTGACAGGACTGGTTACCTTATTCATTTGAGCCAGTAAATATTACCTGGCTTCGCTCTGCAGGAAGGAGCAGCCCAGGAGCCAGGACACCTCCACCTGCTGCTGAAGATAAGAGGCTGCAGTAACTCACTGTCCAGACACAGCATGGAGCGGGCAGCGCCTCTGGGGATGGTCCTCTGAAAAGTCCAGCCTCTGAGAGCACAGCCCACCTGGCCACCCACGATGCCATGGTGAAAGGCTGTGCTGGGTTGTGCGGGGCAAGCTGATGAGGTGCAGAAGTGCTGTACCTTCCTTCCCAGGAAGACAAAGTAGCCCTGCCGGG